TCAGAGTTCAAAATAGTCTCAAGCAAAGCTGAGTGTTTCTTGGGACTCGAAATCAAGAAGCAAGAAAATGGACTAAAAATTAGTCAGCAAGGATATGCCACAAGGATTTTGGAGCGATTCAGGTTTTCGGATTGCAAAGCAGTTTCAACCCCACTTCTCAAGAATTCGGAAATTACGACAGCAGGGAAAGAATCAGAGACGACTGCGTTCCCTTATCGCCAAGCCATCGGAGCTCTCATGTACCTCATGCTTGGAACAAGGCCAGACTTGGCTTTCAGCATCGGATTTCTTTCAAGAACGCTAGAAAATCCTACAAAAGAAAACATTGCACAAGTGAAGAGAGTTTTCCGTTACATTTCCGGAACTATCAACGTTGGGATAGTCTATCGGAAACAGAAGAGGGGAATCCTCGAATGCTACAGCGATGCTGACTTTGGTGGCTGCACGAAGACTGGGAGATCTACATCAGGGATCATCATCATGTTTGCTTCAGGAGCCATTTCATGGAAAAGTCAAAGGCAGGCCATGGTGGCCATTTCTACTACAGAGGCTGAGATCGTAGCAGCCAATGAAGCTGCAAAAGAAATAATTTGGCTTAAAAGATTATTTCAGGAAATCGACAGATTGGACCGAGCCCCAATTCTCCAGGTCGATAATACTGCCGCCATGAGGCTGGCCCAAAACCCCGAATTCCATCGCAGGACCAAGCACATAGCCAACAAGCATTTTTTCATCAGGGACAGAATTGCTGAGGGCGAATTTGGAATCGAGCAAATCCCCACTGAAGAACAACTCGCAGATATGATGACAAAGCCGATCCTCAATACTCGACTGCGGATTCTTTGCAACAAGATTGGATTCTTTTGAAGGAGAAGAACACCATTCATTTTGCTTTATATAGAGTCATAAAATTTTCAAGTTTGTCAATTGAATTGTTAATTTTGAATTCTTACAAGGGAAAGTGTTGAAGATAAATGTTTCTAATTCAAAAACCCGCCAAGTTAGAGTGCTGCTCGTAATAACATATCGATTGTATCGAAACAAGATAAAACACATCACTAGCATCATAAAGACATAACCTAAAAAGCTGTAGAAGAGAGTGAATAAACAAGACAGAGTTTTCTAAAGAAATATAGTTTATTTACTGGCCAAAATAACTCAAAAGCTAAAAGTTATAATATTTCAAACCGATTGGTTCAGTAGATTTTGAGTTATAGTGTACACCGATTTTCAAAATTTTTCAGGAGAGCGCTTTGAACTTTGTGATTCTCATGCATGGAACACCAACCGACCTTCGTTCAACTCCGCATAACTTCGTCAATTTTACTGTGATCGATGTAAAACTTGGACATAATATTCTTAAGATGTTGAACTTTAAAAATAAGAAATAAAAAAAATTTACGAAAAAAAATTAAATACCTTACCCCCCCCCTAAATAACGAGCAAGTTTGTTGTCCTTGAGAGAATAAAGAAGATGCTTTTTGTATACTTATAGTGCCGGAAACAACTCCTTCAATGCGTTGCTAACCACGCGTTTTTGCTCTACGAAAAATACTTACTTAATTTTGTGTTTCTTATATTTATTAAATATTTGGTTAAATAAATAGGAAAACTAATAGGAGATATAGAAAATATGTACCTATATTTTCATAAAATTATAATAATTTGGTTTCGATTAAAAAATTTTGGACAGACATTGCCAGATCAACTCAGTTGTTGATGCTGATCAAGAATATTAAGGGTGGTTTCGATTTGAAGCACGGGTTAATCTGAGTCTGGTAAAACTTATCTCATTCGTCTTCTTTTTAAATTCAGTATTATCTCGGCTGACCGAAATGAAATTACGGTCAATGTAGACAACTTTTGCACCATGATAACCAATTTTTTGTGCCCGCTCTTGATAGTATTGATGTGGACAATGTTTGGTTTCACATGTCATGCCGCAATGGATTTATTGCGCGAATCGTTCGATGACCGTTTAACCAGCTAAAATGGTCGCCAAGAAGCTGCGATTTGACACCGTTGGACTATTTCCTGTGGGACTCCGTTAAAGACAAGTATGTCCATTTGAAGGCCAACATTCGGGATGCCATTGACGAGATACGGCCAAAACACTAAAAAAATGCTCGAAAATAGGTTTGATCGAAATAGAAACTGCGAGGCTAGCCGCGGCAGCCATTTGAATAAAATAATATTCCATTTCTAGGCGGAACAATTGTAAATCAAAACAGAAAAATAAATTTAACAAAATCCCAAACCGTTTTTGTTATATTGCATTTTTTACTTGAGACTTTTAAATGGTCCACCCTTTTTGTACTGGATAGGGTCGGAGGATATGACTCCTTCACTGCGTTTTAAACTTCTGGCTAAAATAATAACACCCCCAAGGGTATAACAACAATACTTAAAAAAAACTGCATTGTATGTTCTTTTTTTGTGTTATTTATTTATAATTTTATAATATATGCACATCTGTTGCCAATTTATTAAATATATAGGAACTTTTATAAATATGTATTAATTTATTTTATTTTTTTTCTTGTTTATTGGTATTACCCAATAATTGCAGTAACTTTCGATTATACATGTACTATCTTACTATGGGTAGACATTAAAAATATGTTTTTAATTTTTACTTTGAAAGTGCGAGGTAAATAATGGAAGAATATAATACTTTTCCAAAGAAAAATGAAAAAACAAAATTAAAGATTAAAATGATATAAAGCTGAAAAATGAAGAGGGGTTTATATAAAACATAATACATATATCTGAAAAAATATAAAAAGAAAAATATATGTATTTATTATGGAAAGCAAACAAATCTGATAAAATGAGTATTTAATTGTAAAGTCAATGATTTTGTGTATGTCTTCTGATATGTTATGTATATCTTTACACATACATAAGTACATATGTAAATGGTGGTTACACAGTTTTGAGCAATATATTCATCTATGTATATTATGCACGAGTGTAGTACATACTATACATATATATATATATACATATATATATATATATATATACACATATATATATGTGTGTTTTGTCCGTATGTTCTAAAGAATAGTTTTTTATATGTATATACTTTTGATGCGAGGGCTTAAGTTCATGTTAGAAATATGTAATGCAAGGTCTGCTATTATGGTATTTACTGTTAACCTGTTTTTTTTGTTTATTTATTTCTTTTTTGGCAATTATGAATGCTTAATTTTTAAATATGAAAATAATTACTATTTTTGATAAAACTTCTAATGGGTTTTCTTCTTTGAGATATTATTTATTAATTAATTATGGACATTGGTTTACTTTTATTTATTATTTTTTTTGCTTGCCTGTTAGTAGTTGAAAAATTAAATAAATTTAAACTGAAACTTACCTACGTAAAATATATATATATTATCTTTTAATATATATGTAGTATATATACTATAGGAACTTTTATTAATTTTTTTATTCTTATGTCACTTGTAATTTTTTTAACAATTATACTTATACAATACGTTTCATTATTAATGTTGCTCATGCTTGGGCATGAATGAAATTAAAATGTAGAATTTTTTTTTAATTAAAGAGTCAGTCAGCTATGTATCTTGTATTTAAATTTATGTAAGTTCTCAAAAGTATATTTTTAAAATTAGAAAGAGGAAACAATAAAAAATAAGTGTAAAGTATTTACACTAATTTAATTACTTTGTTTCTAATTAAATTTCTTGGAAGCTATGTATGCATTTAAAAAGTAATAGTTATAATTTTGAAATAGAAAACGCCTTCCTTTGTTTATATGCTTTCCATAAGGGAAATAAATAAACATAATATAAAACAAACTATAGGAAATTAATATTGTAATAGGCAAATATCACACATTAATTGTGCGCACACTGTAACAAGAAAATGTACTTTAAACACTCTTTAACTATTTATTTGCTTTAATTTTTCAGTTGGAGATTTATTAATGTAAAATTATATTTTAAAACCTTTTTAAAGTTAGAAAGTAAATCATTGGCACGTTTTTCACTCTCTTAGCATTAAAACGAATGAATTAGTAATAATCATAATAAAATAAGAACGCTTCACTTTAATGTACAGTTTTTCGAAAAATTGTATAGGTCTTACAATTAGGTAATTATTATTATTATTTTTTTTTAATTTAATACCATGATCGGCACGCCGAACAAGCAGTATCCTTAATTTGATGACATATTTCTAATATACATATATAGAAAAAAACAAAGGCATAAAGCAATCAAATGCTAGGAACTCAGTTTGCGTTTCATATTGAATCTAAAATTATATATTATATATATATATATATTTCTTTAAATATATATAAATTTTTTGGTAGGAGCTGCCATTATGTAATGTTTTTAGGATTGCCACCATTCTTAAATATTTTAAAAGCTAATTTTATATTTTCAATAGTTAGGAACACAATTCCGCATTTTTAGAAAATTCGTACTAAATTTGGAAATAGTAGGTATTTCTTTCAATGGAATTTCAATGATTCTTATAAATGTTTTTCTGTTTTTTTTTCTCTTCTGTAAAATAGGAACTTTTGAGTGTTTTTTTTCGTAGTAAGTTTGGTATGTGATCGTATCCTTTCTTCTCATCATCATCTTCTCACTGGAATGTATAAATATATGTATTTTTAGTTATTTTCAAAAAAAAAAAAAAAAATGTAAACGTAGTAGTACTTACTTTTATTCACTTTTAATTCTTATCCAAGGTTATTTAAAGGCCATATATAAAACAACCTCAAATCTTTTACTTTCCACCTATAACTAATAAAACAAGAGATTAAAGTTTTAGTTTTAAGTAGTTTTTTTTTAATTTCATAACAACAAAATTAAAGTTAAGAAAAAAAACGCAAATAATAGATTGTGATTTTAATTAAATAAAACATATATTTATTTTGTTTGTACATATTGATTTCAATATTATTATTACTGTAATAAATGTAAATTGTATTTTTAAATTAAATTAAAATAATTATAATTTAATACAAATATTTTATGTGTTAGGAATATCAGGAATAAACAAGCTTAGCACCAAAAAGTCGTGCTTTTCTTTACATTTTGTTTATCGGTTTTATACCAAAAATGTTATTGGTGTTTTCAATCGTTTCATATCAAAAATCAATTGGTATTTTTTATTGATCTTCATCAATGGGTATTTTTAAATATTTTATGAACCCGATTTGAATGCATTGCCTCTTAAAGACATTTGCATACTTTGAGACAGAAAAAAGGCAAGACAGAAAACGGTAAAGCCCAAGGAGTACCACGTACGTCTGACTTTGTTTATAGTTTTCCAACACTTTGAGTGTTATGTGCCTCTTTTCTACGCAAATAATTTTTAAAAGCACCTAATATTCTATATATTATTGTTTTGTTAAAATAGTTTTATTTTTCTTGCGAGGCATTAAAATTATGTTCTTGGTAATTGTTAAAATTCTACCACGAAAATGACTTTGAGAAATCAAAATACATCTATCGACCGATTTCTGGTGCGAATACTTTCTGTTACTTACTGTTACCGTTAATGGAGATGATTTATTTGAGATATTCCAGAGAAATTACGTTTTTTCAATAATAGTTAAATAATAAAGGAAAGTACTAAGCTATGTAATCTGATCAACAGATAATCTTAAAATAAGGAATTTTTACAAGCTCAGTCGAAACTCGCTTACCGGTGATATGGTTTCGATTGAATAGCTTCTGCATTAGATCCTGATTACTGGCTTCGGTGACTCGAACATCCGGAATGTTGGCATCATCACCCTTAGCATCATAGTTAAGCAAGCAGTTATCCTCTTCCGGCTGTGAATCCTGTCCAGAATTTCCGATATTACTTGTTGCATTATTGCTCTTGGCAGCACTTGAGACAACGTGTTGAAGGAGAAATGCCTTTGATAGGTTATAGAAATGTTTTTCTCTATCAGAGTCACTGTCATCGCTGCCATAAAGCTCGCTTGTGGTTTGTTCCAAGAATTTTTTCATCTTGTCAATGTGCTCAACGCTGAAAGCATGCTTCTGGAGATTTACTTGGGTTACTTGGCAGAGCTGGCAATCTTGAAGAATATTTGTTATCTCATTATTATCTTGACCAACGTTGTCTTTGCTACTGGAACCACCATCATCATAGCTGTTTTCATCCGAAATATGGGCGTAGTGCCGTTGATTACGGGATTTTTTATCCTTTGCTCGAGAGTTTTGAAACCAAACCTAAGTAAAAAGATGTTTATTTTGTATATTTAATAGAAAAATACACACAAAAAATATAGAAAATATATTACTTATTATTAAAAGTAATTACCTTACAACTTCGTTTTTTTTTAGGTTTCGAATGCAGTGTGAGGACTTATTATCAGTCACTGTGATTTTTTTAATTTGTCATGTCTGTCACGTTTTTACTATAAAAAAATAAAAAATACAATAAAATAATTGAATATAATATATTAATTAAAAATATAAGTAAATACAATAAAATAAATTTATAAAATATATACATTTATGGACTAAGTAAGAAAATCAAAAGAAAATTCAAAACAGATTAACAATAATTATTAAGAATTAACGCTGTATAAGCGGGGACTTAGTGTTGGATTGGGCTTTTTGTATAAATGTATTCATATTACATTACCGCGTACTATTCATGATCACGTATTTACCAATTTGTCTTTGTTTATAATTATTATTTTGCCTGGTCGTTCTCAAAATTTGTGTCCAGAAATTGGTGTTCAGAGTGACTAGCATAGTGTGTGTTTCGAAACATGTCTTTTTTAATGAACCTTTCTAACACATATTTGCTTACGTTTTTTTAATAAATTCGATTTCTGTCTACTGTCAATGAACCGTGCCTATATCGTAAGCCAGGAATATGTCTATTAGCGGTCTCTGTTGACGATATTAGTTTGGCGTGCGACGAAATCCAAGATCTTTTGGACATTAAAACAAAGATTGCAGCAGAGTTTGACTTAGTCGGCCTATGAAATATTACATATGTATGTAGGTATTGAAGTGAAACTAAAAGGTAGTGCCGGTGCAATTTCCAATCCATAACATTGTGCGAGCCAGGCAACGACCCACTTGATATACTTTTGCTATACTTTCCCAATGTAAGATATACTTTCACAATCTACTTATTGATTTGAACCTGATGTCCAAAGAGTCTGCTTTTTAGATGTAAGGCGACAATCCTGTTTTTATACCCTTGCAGGGTATTATAATTTCAGTCAGAAGTTTGCAACGCAGTGAAGGAGACGTTTCCGACCCTATAAAGTATATATATTCTTGATCAGCATCAACAGCCGAGTCGATCTAGCCATGTCCGTCTGTCCGTCTGTCCGTCTGTCCATCTGTCCGTCTGTCTGTTTCTACGCAAACTAGTCCCTCAGTTTTAAAGCTATCTGAATGAAACTTTGCATATAGTCTTCTATATGCTCACTGCTATATATGTCGGAACAGGCCAGATCGGACGACTATATCATATAGCTGCCATACAAATGTTCGATATATTTGTAGAAAAAAATATAACTTTGCTGTTTTTCAACATTTTTACACCATTTTATACTATTTCAGAATTTTGGTAAAAATTTTATGAAAATCGGACGACTATATGATATAGCTGCCATAGGAACGATCGAGAAATAAATAGGAAAAAAAAATTATAGTTTCGTTGTTTTTCAACGTATGTTTATCTACTCTGAGATATAAGCTTTTTTTATTATTCTAGAATTATGGTATAAATTTTATAAAAATTGGACAACTATATCGGTAGATGTAGAGAAAATGTAAAACTGGGAATGTAAAACTGTAACTGTCAAACTGTAAACATAATAAGTATAGGTAAAATGTAATGAAACTCTGTTTTGTGAGTGTTTTCAGCATTTAAATCTATAATATAAACATCGAAATCAATGTGCAAGGGTATACAAACTTTCTTTGTTTTTTTTTGTTTCTTGTTTTTTTTAAGATCTTAAGAAATTGCGAATCTACCAATATGCTTGATGTTGAGTTAGGTGCGACATAACTGTCTCGAAAATCGAACTGATACCACAAATAGGCAAGTCTAAATTGAATGTAAAATGTTGTATTTTATATATTTGAATTATTATATTATATTATATATATTATATAAATCAATTAAACATATTTTAAAATGCTTATTAAAAAAAATCGCTTATGTTAAAGAGAAAGAAAAATCCGCTGTCACAATTGTGATAGCAAAATCGCTATATATTTTGCTCGGTAACCTGAAGGAAAAAATATTATAATATAAAATAATAATAATGATAAATATAATATAAAATAATAATAATAATAAATATAATATAAAATAATAAAAACTAAAAAAATAATTATAAAAATAAATAATAAACATGGCATTAACATTTTTCTTGTGAGTTAAATCCCATATTATGATGGGCTACGCTTTGGCCGCACTTATCAAGGCCACTTTCTCCTCGCGGGCAGAACATTTTATAATTATTTTTTTCTTCATTTTCCCCATTTCCTTTTTTTCGCAGCGTTTTTTTTTATAAGAAGTTTTCATTCTCTCAGTACTAGACATATACGCCGCCGCGCCACGCCGCCGCCGCCGCCGCCGCCGCCGCCGATTTTTGCCTTATTTGACACGCTGCCGCCAAATTATGAAAAAAAAACGGCGCGCCGCGGCATCGGCGCAGCACCGGCGCGGCCTTCAGTGTTATTGTTCTTTATAAAACTTAAAAAAAAAAAAAAAAATAAATAACTCATTAAAATGGCCAAATACTCATATAAATAATCGATTAATCGTTGAGATTGTCTCATCTCACATATCCCTATGTCCCATCTCTGGAATAGACATATACGCCGCCGCCGCCGCCGATTTTTGCCTTATTTGACGCGCCGCCGCCGCCGGTTCTTTCTGACTACTACGCCGCCGCCGCCGAGTCATTTTGACCTCTCCGCCGCCGCCGATGCCTTTAACCATCGGCGTAAACCTCTACTCAGTACTAGGCTAAAAGGGAAATCCGCAAATGTTGTCAAATTCACTTCCGAGTGGAAACTAGAACAAGCTTGGACGGCGCACAGTAGCGCCTTTTCTCATTTTTTCGCGTTGCAAAAATAATAACTTTTGAACCAAATAAGGAAATCGAAAAATTTAAACGGAATTGTTATTAAATGTATATATGAACTGCATAATGTTCCACGCCCACAAATTGGCCTTTTTAAAAGGTATCAAAGTGAAAACAAAAATTTTTTTCAAAGAAAACAATTTTAAAAAAATATTTTTTATTTAATTTTTATTTTAATATTTATATATTTGTTTAAAAAAAATAATTTGAAAACTGAAAAAAAAAACATTTTCTATTTTTTTTTAATTTAAAGTGCGCGCTATAGTTTGTATATTTTTTTGGTTTGTATGAAATTGTGTCGGTATTTTGGAATATTTAACCCTGAGTAGTTTTGGTTTGAAAGTTTATTCTGGTCCAGGAAAGATCCACATAACTTATAGACATAGTGTAGTCGTTGGCTTTCATCGGCTTCAGAAGTTATAGACAACTTTAGGCAGAAAAAGGTGAAAAAAAATGGACACCTGGCAGGTAGCGATTTACCTGTACAAGCCCAAACCAAAGTGCCGTTTTTTTTAGGTTATTTAATAGTTTATGAATGTATCTAACATTCAAAGTAAAAACCACGACCATTGGTTTTATGGTTTTTGTGTAATATTAACTAAAAGTCGGCGAATTTACCCTTTATTTTTTGTAAGATGCAAAAAACGAAAGAAAGTTCAACTTTGAATGCTCATACAAAAAAATGTTAAAATAGATTCGGAATCTTTGGGAAAATTTCTGGCGAGTAAGTATGGTTAAAATCGTTTTTGTGAACATGCCTTTTTTGATTTTTGCAACGCTAATTGTTCGAGAGGCGCTACTGTGCAGCGGTGCCAAATGCCCACATAACAATAATTCGGGTTTTAACAAACTTCATTCAACGATATTATTTTAAAGTCGTATAAAATAACTAATATCTCCTATTATAATTTTTTTGCAAATGTTCTAATCGATATGGCAGCTTTATATCCTATCCGGCCCGTTCCGACTTACATATATACTGATGAGAATAGTTATAATACTTTCTGCAAAATTTAATTCAGATACTTTTAAGCCAGACATTTACTTAGATATGGATAGACGGACATGCTAGATCTACTCGGCTGTTAATGTCGATCAATGCTGTACTTTTTTGGTCGGAAATGGCTCCATTTCTGGGTTGCAAACTTCTGATTAAAATTAAAATATCAATATAAAATGTATATTAAATATGCACACACGTGTGACACACATCTGTTTTCGGGCATTTTTGAAATCTGATTGAATTATTTGAATTATCAATCGTCAGCTGCTTAGTTTTATGATAAAACTTTTATCCTTGATTTGATGTTGGAACTTGTTCGATATTCCGAATATCAGTAGAAATCGAACAAATCTGTTGATATCGATATTAACGCAACTTGGACGCAACCTTTTCCCACCACTAAAAACTACTAGTAAAAAACTACGTTTGGTGAGTTAACGCAATAACGCAGCCTGGTTTAAATAGTCCCTTAGAGACAAGGTAACCTATCGAATGTAAATTTCGATAAGAAACTGTGCACTCGATATTGAATTGAATAAAAAAGTGCGATCACAACCTTAAGAGACTACCTAGAAAGAAGACCAATAGGGACTACTTTGGGAAACTATTAAAAGAGCACCAACAAGGAAAATACGTACGAAATTAAATTAAAGAACATAAAAGTTTTACATTTGTTGAATACAAAATTAGCAGCCAATTATGTTTAAATTAAAAACAGAAAAGATACAAGGGTATTATAGCTTTGTGGCGACATACTTCAAGTCTATTTGGTAAGATTCAAATTGTTATAATATTTATTATATTTTAAAAATTTGTATTGGATTAAAAAAAAATAATTTTTAGGAATTAAATTGTGTTTTTTTAAAGAATTTATTTTTTGGTAACTTTAAATATTTGTATTATATTTAAATTGATATTTTAATAAGAAAATACTTACTTGCACAACTCGCTTTTTTAAATTAACCTTCTTCGATATTTCTTCCAGCATTTTGCGACTTGGGTTCGATTCCGATTGGTAGCATTCATATAAAAAGTTCAATTGCTCCGGAAGTATGGTTGTGCGCAAGCGTTTATTTTGCTTCGATGATGAAACATTAACGGGAGATACCGATGATATTTTTTCTATTTCATTAGTTTTGAGCATTGGTTCATCCTTCTGACTGGCATTATTCTCATTATCATCGTTAAAAGTTAAAGTTTGTGAATTATTTTCAATCATTGTCGCATCGAGAAAGTCTTCCAAGTTGTGCAAGTATTGCGATTTATCTTTGTCATCGTTTTGGAGAGTCTGCAGTGATCTGGATCTAGACCCAGATTCCAACGAGTCCTTTTCACCTGCATCGTTATTATTGTTGTGTTTTTCCTCATCTTCCCAGTCTTTTTCCAAATCATTTTCCAAATTCTTTTTATCTAAGATAATTTCGTCATGTTGTGCCATTGGCGCCTCTTTATGAACTTCTTTTATGACTTTATCATCCTCTAGTGTCCCTGTTAATGGCTGAAAATTGCCTCCTGGTCCATCATCAGGTACTCTTTGTGGCGAGGCAACTAACTGAAAAAACTTTTTTGATTCATTCAGTTGATAATATTGCAATAGGAACTCAATTGTTGGATTTTGCGTAGAACTTAAGTTTGTTGATGATTTATCCTCTTGATTGCGATAGTATTGCAATAAAAATTCATAGTTACTGACTTTCTTCAATTCGTTTTGTTGATAAAAGTTGGTTAGGAATTCCAGTTCAAAATCTGAATGCTCATTAGATTGTTTATTATGCTGTTGCTGCATCAGAAATTGTTGTTTCAGTTCGCCGTTTGTCTCATTTTGCATAAAATATTTGTGAAGGAAATCATATTTTTTTTCGAGAGCTGTTGTATGATCATCTTCTGCCTGGGAAGAGCAGCTATCATTGGATATTTTTCGCTTTTTTGCAGGGCGTATCTGGCTGTGCGATTCAGACTGCAATTCAGGTTGCAACTGAAGTTGTGACTGCGTTTGTGATGCCGCTTGCTGTAGACTTTGCAAAATACTGCCAAAAGGACCAAAATTGGGATCCAAATTGGATTTAGTGGGATTCATAAGATGCATGAGTTGGTGTTCACGCAATTTCTCCAAGTGGTTGAATTGCAGTTCACATTTATCGCAATCGTAGCTTTTGGCATGTCGCTGCTGTGATTGCGGATGATCCAAACTGTTGCTACGCTCACGTATCGGCTGTTGCGGTGGCGTTGGGGTGGTTGATGGGCTAAAGTCATGTAAAGATGATGAGGACTTGGTAAAAAGGTTATGATGCTGCGAGGGCATTGGCGCCAGTTGTGCTGTCATATTTTGATTATGCACATCCATTGAGGAATCCATTGAATCTTCCGAACTTAAATTTTGGGCAATTTGCGCCGCGGCAATCTGTGCCTTGGCAGATTTTTTATTATTCTCCTCTTTAAAGCAATGATTTTTCTGATGTCTTATTAGTTCATAGTAACGTTGGAATACCAAGCTACACTTTTTGCAGGCATAGTTAATATTTTGTTTTTTCGTTTCCTCATTTTCAAAAAGGGTATTATTCGGTTGATTCTCATAGATTTTGCGTTGCTTTTGCCGGGCATTTTGAAACCAAACTACAATAACTCGAGGCGAGAGCAGTAACAGCTTACTTAAGTATTCCAAGTCACTGTCTTTGGGATAAGAATTGTTTTCGAAAAATTCTTGCAAGACTTTAATTTGATAATCGGTGAAGCGCGTACGATTGGCTCGCTTTCCGCCTGATGTTGAGGAAGAGCTGGATGAGTTGGAGGAGTTGTTGCTTTCGAACTGGCTGCAAGATTGATTAATTGTTGAACTTGTAGATGAACTTGTCGTTGTTGAACTTTTTTCCATATTTTTTCCACTAATTTGAAGCTTTTTTATGGGTGGACCCATAGTTTCCATTAATTGTTGATTTATTAAATCGTTCATGTTGCCATACAGATTGTTTCCTCCAGTAGGATTTGGTGTTGGAGGTCGCGACATAACATCAGAGCTTCCACTTTCCGATTTAGTTTCAAAATTATTCGTCAAGTGAGTTTGTTGTTGAGGAAAGTTAATGGTATGTAATGTCTGATCGATTAATGTATCGGTTTCTATATTTTTCATCGGCTGTTCTTGCTGTTGAAGCTTTACGAAGTTTATGTGTTGGTTTTGTTTTTGATATACCAAATCATTATTATCTATTTCCTGGGGCTCCGATTTGATGTGCATTTCCGTTGGAAATTGAGGTAAATGATTTTGATCTTTTCCAGGCTCTTTTACCCAAAGATTTTGGCTTAAATAATCGGAGATGTTGCCACTAGAATTTGTTGACTCTGGTCGAGATACAGATGCAGGTATGGGAATGGGCATAGAAACGGATGCTGTTCTTGTGGCATTTGTTAAAGCTTCTTTGGAGGAGTTGAAGGGAGCGACATTGGAGGAAGATATTGCTGTTGTCGTCGGTGTGCTTATGGCTATAGCAACGCTACCCCCACCGCTTCCCGTATCATTCAAAGGGGTAACCTTAGCCTGACCTGTACGTTCATACTCCTCCAAATTGAGGGTAGTTGATGGCGGATTATTAAAGTTATACGGCGAGTCCTTATTGCGTTGCCTTTCCTTGAATAAGGTGTTGCGAAACCAGTGCTTAACGACCTGTAATTTGTTTATTTTTAAGATAAAATTTAGTATGCAAATTATTAAATAGGACTAATGAAAAATAAAACTAGAAAGGAACGCCGAAAGTTTAATCTTTCGACTACCCTTCAAAAATGGAGACCAAAGAAACAGACAGACAGACAAATGGATATGACAAGATCCACTGTTGATGTTGAACAAGAAAATAAATTCTTTAACTTCTGACTAAATTTATATCCCCTTGCCATGGTATATATATTTTTTAATATTGTATAGCAGTGATGGGCTTCGCTTCTCTTCTCCGACAAATATTTATATCAACAAACTTCGCCCATAACTTAAGGGGGTCTTCTCTTTGGGCAACTTTTTTTTTCGATTTTTTTTGCATTTATTAATAGCTTGGGATGTTGTGTATATGATTTTTAGAAATTCGAAATACTTTAGAAGATACAGCTTTTTTTGGGAAGCAAGGTCTTCGCAAAATGAGCTTTTTTCAAACTTCAAACGCGTTTATCTCGAAACCACGTTTTTCGAACTGGCGGCCATGATATCTCCAGTTACACTGAACCGATTTTCATGCAACAAAGTGGAATCGACGCAAAATTATCACCATTCTCGGGTGACGAAACAGATTAAAAAAAATTTTTTTTTTCTATTTTTTTTTACACTAAACCACAAAAAAAAAGCCCGAAATTTTTTTATAACCCCGTTCTTATTTTTAATTTCGGACGCTCTGGAGACCCTGAATCGTGGCCGCCAGGACGACACCTTTTTTTGCCACCACCAAGTTTGAAGTCTCATTACTCTTTGAACAACCCTCGTATCGAGGCAAAAACAATTTTTTTATTTACTTTGAACATTTTTTAATACAATAAATAAAAAAAGTTTTCAATTATTCTTTGCGTTTTCAAATAAGCATTTTTTTAAAAAGGGTCCAAAAAACGGGTTTTGAATGAGAAGACCCCCTTAACGGAAAGAAATAAATAATTTAATAATTGTACAAACGCTTGATATGTACCGAATATACGAAGTCAATGGACTTACTTTCATTGGTAAATTGGCTTTCTGTGACATTTCCATAATGCTCTCCTCGCTGGGCGAATTATTAATATCAAAGTGGGCACGCAATATTTTTAATTGGTCATCAGTGATGCGCGTACGAGCACGCTTTTGGTTACTAGCAGTCAGCTGTAAATAAATGAAATATATATATGAAATGGGAAATGAACAACAAATAACAGGAAATAGCTCTTAAGTTTTTTTTTATCACAACCATTTTTTCATCAGCTTAAGAGAGCTCAAAAGCTCAGTAAGTGACGAATACTTTTTGATTGGGCGATTTTTTATTAAATAAAGCCAATTTGTAATTTTTCTTTAATATGCATGTCAAAATTGCATTAAGGTATTCCTAATTGTTTTATTTAAGGGGGGGTGTATGCCTGTAAACCAACAATTTCTCGGTCAATTTGTTCTTTGGCTAAAAAATAGTTTATTATTTATAGAATATACTGTGTAAGTTTTATTATCGAATTCCAACCCTTAGTGTTTTAAATCCAGTATGTACGCAAGGTATACGCAAAAACTATCATCATTACCATGAAATTATCTTCTATTTGAACGTAAATGTGGGTAATAAAAATGAGTATTGTTATTTATTGAGAGAGTGAGAAGTCAAATTTAATTTCCAGAACATTTTTTGGTTGCGGATTTCGGACACGAAATTTAGCCGGGAAACTCAAAGCTGCACCATTTTGTAAAATATTGTTAATAATAAATTTTTTATCTCCGTTTCCTCTTTTAGCTATCTTAAACAAAAGTTTAAATAGTGACCGTTTACATGTAAATCCCATAAATAAAAACCAAGAAAGGAAGATAACTTTTGCACGCTATTTGCAAAACTATATTTTAGATTTCAAATATCTCATATAATAACAAGAAAGGAAGCTAACTTCGGCACGCCGAAGTTTGTATACCCTTGCAGATTGGTTTTGATGTTTATATTATAGATTTAAATGCTGAAAACACTCACAAAACAGAGTTTCATTACATTTTACTTATACTTATTATGTTTACAGTTTGACAGTTACAGTTTTACATTCCCAGTTATACTTTTTTTCTACATCTAACGATCGGTTTATATGGCAGCTATATGATATAATTGTCCGATTTTTATGAAATTTATACCATAATTCTAGAATAATAAAAAAGCTTATATTTTAGAGTAGATAAACATACGTTGAAAAACAACGAAGCTATAATTTTTTTCCTATTAATTTCCCGATCGTTCCTATGGCAGCTATATCATATAGTCGTCCGATTTTCATAAAATTTTGACCAAAATTCAGAAATAATATATAAAGGCACCATCTACAAAATGGTGCAAAAATATTGAAAAATAGCAAAGTTATAATTTTTTTTCGAAAAATATATCGCACATTTGTATGGCAGCTATATGAAATAGTCGTTCGATCCGGCCCGTTCCGACATATATAGCAGTGAGAGCATATAGAAAACTCTATGAAAAGTTTTATTCAGATAGCTTTAAAACTGAGGGACTAGTTTGCGTAGAAACAGACAGACAGACTGACGGACAGACGGACATGGCTAGATCGACTCGGCTGTTGATGCTGATCAAGAATATATATACTTTATAGGGTCGGAAAGGTCTCCTTCACTGCGTTGCAAACTTCTGACTGAAATTATAATACCCTGCAAGGGTATAAAAAGAAAGGAAGCTAACTTCGGCACACCGAAGTTTTTATACCCTTGCAGATTGGTTTTGATGTTTATATTATACATTTAAAAACTGAAAACACACACAAAACAGAGTTTCATTACATTTTACCTATACATATTATGTTTACAGTTTGACAGTTACAATTTTACATTCCCAGCTTTATATATTTTATACATTTACCGATCGCTTCTATAGCAGCTATAAGATATAGTTGTCCGATTTTTATGAAATTTATACAAAAATTCGGAAATAATAACAAAAGCTTATATCTCAGAGTAAATAAAAATACGTTGAAAAACAACGAAGCTATAATTTTATTTCTATTATTTCTATATATCTATATATCTATATCATATAGTCGTCCGACTTTCAATAAAATTTTTACCAAAATTCTGAAATAATATAAAATGGCCATATCTAAAAAATGGTGCAAAAATGTTGAAAAACAGCAAAGTTATAATTTTTTTCTACAAATATATCGAACATTTGTATGGCAGCTATATGATATAGTCGTCCGATCTGGCGTTCCGACATATATAGCAGTGAGAGTATATAGAAGACTATATGCAAAGTTTCATTCAGATAGCTTCAAAACTGAGGGACTAGTTTGCGTAGAAACGGACAGACGGACGGACGGACAGACGGACGGACGGACAGACGGACAGACGGACATGGCTAGATCGACTCGGCTGATGATGCTGATCAAGAATATATAGACTTTATACTTGCAAACTTCTGACTGAAATTATAATACCCTGCAAGGGTATAACAAAGTAATATCAACTTTTATTAGTTACTTATACATATTATATTTTCAGATTTGCATTCATTCTCAGCGAGACGTTACAAACACAGAAGCTATCTTATTATACCCTTGTAGGGTATTATAATTTCAGTCAGAAGTTTGCAACGTAGTCAAGGAGACCTTTCCGACCCTATAAAGTATATATATCTTGGATCAGCATCAATCATCTAATTTTATATATCTTATAGCTGCCATAGGAACGATCGGGAAATTAATAAAAAAAAAAATAGCTTCGTTGTTTTTTAACGTATTTTTATTTACTCTGAGATATGAGTTTTTTTTTGATCATATTAGAATTTTGGTTTAAATTTCATAAAAATCTGACAACTATATCATATAGCTTTCATAGAAGCGATCGGTAGAATGTAAAGCTGTAACTGTCAAACTTTAAACATAATAGGTAAACATAAAGGTAAAATTTAATAAAACCCTGTTTTGTGTGTTTTCAGCTTTTAACTTTATAATATAAATATCAAAACCAACCTGCAAGGGTATACAAACTTCGGCGTGCCGATGTTCTTGTTTTTTCTATTATTTTTCCGGCTCGTTCCTATGATATAGTTGTCCGATTAAAAAAAATAAATAAACCGAAATCTTATATACAAAATGGCCATGCTTTAAAGAAGACGGACACGGCTAGGCCGTCTCGACTGTTGATGCTGGTCAATATAAACTTTATAGAGTTGGAAACGACTCCTTCACTGAGTTGATTTAATTAAAGTTTTTTCTCACCTGAGTGCTTGAGTTTGCGACATTATGCTGTGTGAGAGCAGAGACTACAGCAGTTGCTTTACCAGAATCGCCACTACCTGTATGCTGAATATCTGCAGCTGAGGAAGAACAGGAGTTCAGATTGGTGTTATTTTGGTGGGTTGCTCCTGCTACTACACTGCCTCCTCCTCCGCCTCCACCGAACACCAATGGCGGTGCTAAGTTCATAAAGTTCAGAGACATTAAATGGTGAAACTGCATTAGGTTGAGCATATCCACGGGATTGATTGCAGTTCCAAATTGCTGCTGCTGTTGTTGGATAGTCTGTAGATTCTGTAGGTTCTTAATAAGTTAATAAAATGTTTTCAGCTGATTTCCGATTATAACTTGCTACCTGTAGGTGCTGGGAAAATTCTCCTGTGGGAAGCAAAGCCTCTGGCTGCATGGCCAAAACCTCTGAGTTACATTGCTGCTGCTTCAACAAATTCGTCAAAGTAGCGAGATATTGCTGTTGAGACTGAGTATCAGATATGGAAGGTATGGGACTCTGCCGGCTGCTGCTAGTTTCCTTGGCTAGTAACTGTTGGTTTTCAAATCGTGACGGTGACGACATGGGATCATTAACAGCTGCAACCTCTACAAAATCACATTAAGAAAAATGAACAAATATGTGTCATATATGCTGTTTTAGGGTCCTTACCTCCTTTAACCGCAAAAGCCTCTTGGGCAGGCAGCTCGGTGGTAGGTGTGGCCTGCGACTGCGCCTGTGGACTACTGTTCGCCCTGACTCCCTCTCCGCCTGCGTGCACCTGATCCATATGCTTTTGCAGCGCCTGCGTACTCCGAAAATTTCGCTGGCAATGGGAGCACTTCGTTGCGTCTCTCATCGTGTGATATAGCATGTGAGTTGTCAACTTCTCTTGGGTTTTAAATGCCAACGAGCACTGCTTGCAACGATATTTGTAGACATGACGTTCCGAGATCACGGAACTCATGTGAGTGTCCTGGTAGTGGTTTATCATAATCGGAAGGGTTCGAAATCTCAGGTAGCAAGGACGACTTATGTGAGTCACTCCCAGACACAAAAATTCACCATTTTGAATGGGAAAGTGTTGCGTTTGCTGAGCATGCTGAAGCAGTTGCTCGTCATGTTTAAAGCTGGCCTCGCATTTTTGGCAGCCAAGTACATTAATCCCCAATACATTGGTGGTGGCAGCTGCCGAACTAGAAGAGGAAGAGCATTCTTCGGGCGTTGCCATTGCTTCTTCTGTAGAAGAAATGCTACTTTTACTTTCTTCCCAAGCTTTCGGATCAATTAGCATTAAAAGTCGGGACAGACCATCTCTGGCGACATTGTGTACGCTGGTTAAATGCATCTCTAAGCTGGTCTTCTCGCGGAAATGATTCTCCAAGCACAAGGGACACTGTATGCCTGCTTGACTCTTTTTCTCAGTTACTTCTATTGACTTGCTAACTTCCTCTACATCCTCTTCATCATCTTCCTCCCGCTTAATCTCCGTTACTGCTTCGATGGCACTAACTCTTTGCTGGCGTACCGCTGCTATGGCTGCTGCCGCCACCGCAGTTTGGAAAGCCTGCAGCGCCGCCGTATTAGTTGGTATACTTATAAAGTCCTCACTGGGATCAGCGCAAGGATGTTCCGTTTCGATATGAGTTTCCATTTCGCTTTTCGATTGCACAAAATATTCACAGAGATTGCACTTGAACACGGTCGTTGGAACGCTGACAGCAGGAACTGAAACAGTAGCAGGAGCCGGAGCAGCAGCAGAAAGAGGAATATTCAACATCAAACCAAAATCATTCACAGTCGGTGTTGGAGATGTAACGCTGATACCCAACGTTTTGCCACAAGATGTTGAACAACTTGAGGGTGAAGTTGTTGTCGGAGAGAATACACCGACATCTGCTCCAACGACGGGCGCCGAAGATGGTGATGATGATGCTTCAACAGCCGCAGAAGGTAATGATGCTGATGTTGGAGCACCAACAGCACAGCTGTTGGCTTCTAAGGATGAGCGTTCATTGGCAGAAGCTGTGGTGCTCCTTGCTAAAGTCACGCCGGATTCGTAAGATATTTCTGAAAAAAATGTATATCAAAAATCGGATAAGAAAACGTCCAATAAAATACGATTCGGTTTCTTTTTCTACTTTTCTAAGGACTACATAAATTTTAACTAATAGAGAATCCCTTTTTTAAGCTAGTAATAATTATTTCTTTGCGATTCAAGTGTTTTTGTATTCTTCTCACTTATTTTTGAGTCAACCCTGAAAGTTATGATCATAAAATAAAAGAATAGTGTATAAAAATCCAGGACATGAAGTCCAGCTACTGAATAAAACACTGAAGACAGGGAGTCTACTGTTTAGCTAGTTTAAAAAGTAAAATATCAGCTTTTGCGCACAAATACTTTTCTGTATAAATAAAATAAGAGAGAAAAAGGTTTGGTCATCATTGTCTACACGAATAGCAGGGTAGAGGATGGTGGTGTAATTATCAGCATCTATAAAGGAGTGGGTGCTGCGATGCTCTGCCAGCACAGATGTCTTCAGGTCCTCTAGGTGCTTCTTTCTAAATTAAAGCGAGTGCCGGACTGTACAGCTACGGCCAAAATAATAGGAACAAGAAGGGAAACTAACTTTGAAACGCCGAAGGTCGTTAACTTTGCAGTCTGAAAATATACTACTAGAAATCGATCCATTTCGATTATATAAAATGAAAAAAAAAAAACGTAATTGCCCAAACTAACTTCTAACAGTTTGATATAATTTAAAAGCATGATTTGGAAATTGTCTTAACAATTATATCTTAGGATTGGTTCTTATATGTTGAAAAACAAAAAAGGAAATATAAATTACATATTTATATTAACAATTACAGTCATACATACATATTCTATTCATTTACCGCTTGTTCCAATGACAGCTTTATGATATAATCTCCCAATTTTCATAAAATGATAACCCTAATTGTATAACAACAAACTGTCGAGTAGATGAAAATATGTAGAGAAATGCTGGAGTTATAATTTGTTCTCTTAATTTCCTGATCGTTCCTATGACAGTTATATAATAAAGACATCCGATATGTCTCGTTCCGACTTATATACATCCCTCAAAATGTATAAGACCATCTGAAAATTGTCATTTAAATAGGTAGATAACTCAGTGATGAGTTCGCATAGTAACAGACAAACAGGAGGACAGACAGACAGCCTTATCGACTCGGCGGCTGATGCTGATTAAGAGTACATACATATATGCCGGATCGAAAATGACTCTTTGACTTACTGAGTTGTTTGCAAAAAAAAATAAAAATTTGCCTAACTAAAACGTTCAGAGGTTAAAAATAGAAATAACCAAACTAAAATGTCTTTATTTTTATTTACAACTGTTTCTTTTTTTTATAAAAATAAATAAAAGAAAAATACAAAATTATTAAAAATTAAAGGTGTATTTATTTTTGTGTCGCTGTTGTTTGTATTTGTTGCGGTATAAAGGTGTCGGCGGAGCGGCGACTGTTGTTTGTTGTGTTAGTGTGTGTCTCTGCACGGAGGCCTCACTGTTCTGCGGTTATATGCAGCGCCTGCACGACGCCGCCTCCGCCGCCTGCGCCGCCGCCGCATTATCATCTGATATGGGAATCTCACACTGCCAGAGAGCGTGGAGTTAAAGTTGAATTTGGTTTTGAAAAAGACTAGTCTGAGCTCGATCGAGACTGGGGAAGAGCAGCAAGCAAAGTGTGCACGTCACTAATTGCAAATTCGATGGATACACATAATCGTTTTTGCATTCTTAAGTAATTTGTAATAATTTCCTTAAGGGTCAGCGTCTCAGCATATAAATCTCAGAACGGAGCGGGGGAAAAAGAGAGGGCGAAGGCGAAGGCAAAAGAAGAATTTAGGTAAACGCGACGATGATTCCTGAACGTGAGAGGATGAGGTAAGAGGAGGTACGACGGAATGGAGGCTGAGGATGAAGTCCAAGGCGAAAGACGAACGATAATAATCGAGGAAGAGGAGGAAGGGACGCCAAAAGAAGAACTAAAATTGAACTGAAATCAGCGCTTAATGATGAGTTACGAACCGAACGAATACCGAACCGAACCGTATTATATCAATATGCAATATGCAATATGGTTATTGAAGTATGAGAAAGGGGGAAAAAAGTATACTCACAAAATTTGTATTGTAAGCTTGGGCACTTTTAATTGATTCTCCCATTTTGTTTAAAACATAATTTTTTAATATTATACAAAAAAGCAAGCAAGCTTACCATCATTATCATAAATCCATTCTGTTATTTTAAATACATCATTTAAAGCTGGAACTTCTTGATTTTCACTGCGACGCTGTAAGCATACGAATTGCTCCACCTGCATGTGTCTCATGCTCTTCACATGCTGAACCATTTCATGGAGATTCTTGGCGCTGAAATTGCACAGCTGACAAAGCAGTACTAGATGTTTCTTATTAATTTGATCATCATCGAGAAAGGAATCGTCATCGTTCTTTTTCAAGTTACTTTGCTGTAAAATATACAGTAAATGTTGAAATATCATTCGCATGGTATCGTGTCGCATTTGTTGTGTGTGCAGCGATAGTTTTTGTATCGAATTTGTGATAAAATCACAACAATTGCATTTCAATTGCACAACATTGATGTGTTGTTGTTGAAAGTGTTGTTGAAACTTGTACTCATTGCGTATGCCGCCCTCCTTAATGTGATTGATGTAGCTGAGTTTCTGCAAATGCTTATCCGTCTTGCTATGAAGTTGAAAGTTTGCTTTGAGATTAGTTTTATAATTACAAAGTCTACATATATAGTTGTTGTTGTGAATTAGCATTATTTCTGTAGAGCACGAAGTGGCGGTGGATTGTGATCGCGATCGATCTACTAGCAAATGTTGATTGAGATCATCCAAATTGTTGGTGTTGAACGAATCACAAATTAGGCAACTATAGAGGGCCGAGGGCCATTCGTTGGGCTTTGAGATGGGCTGAGGTAAATCTCCCGTTGTATCTCCCCCGGTTTCCATCATGCCTCCACCTATTGGCATGCCTAGACCTAAGCTTAGTACTTGATTGTGAGCCATTTTCACAACGGGCTTCGGTGAAATGGAGAAGTTAAAGGGATCTGGCGACGAGGATGTTGGTGATAATTTGGTATTAGCTGAAGACTGTTGCTGTTGCTGTTGATGGTGAAGTAACTGAATCATCAAGGCTTGATTATAAGCCAAATCTGCCAAAGCAACTTCGGGTAGAAAGGATCCTGCTACTCCGCTGGAACTCACTCCTCCCGAAGCACTAGATTGTTGCTGCTGTTGTAAAAAGTTAAATGTCTGTATATGCTTTATATTATTCTGCAGCACCGCCATATTATGGGTATGCTTCTCGCTGGTCATATGAATCCTTAAGTTTCGAGCAACAGATGTTTCATAGCTACAGATGTCGCAACGAAATGAAGGCTTTGGCTTTAGGTTAACGCTGGAGCTAGAGCTAGCGACCGTGCCGGAGCTAGCATTCGAGTTGTTGGAAGTTGAAGGATTTCCCACAACATTATTCGTTGTTAAGCAGGACGAGGAACCAACTGGAGGAGGAGCACTATTGGAAGTACCAGCTCCTTGGGGTGATGAGGAACTGCTGGAGAGAAGCAACTTTCCTGTCGCCACGGCCGCAGCAACCATATTCTGTGAGCTATTCAACTCTTGCATATTATTCAAATGCTTATCAGATTGCATGTGAATCGAGAGATTCCCCTTGGTGGTCGTAGAATAGTTACATATCTCACAGCGATACGGCTTATAACCGCAGGAATAGGATTCTCCGCGTGCCAAGCGAGGGTGTTGCTGTCCTGTAAGTGTAAAGGGATTGTTATCAGCGGTTATTAGTTATTAAAATAGTATCTGTATAAATTATTATTATGAAAAACAGAAGAGAAGCTAACTTCGGCACGCCTAAGTTTTTATACCCTTGCAGTTTTCAATTGGATCATTAAGAATCTATACATTATGGTCAAATTAATAGAAACAAGAAAGGAAGCTAACTTCGGCACGCCGAAGTTTGTATACCCTTGCAGATTGGTTTTCATATTTATATTATAAATTATAATGCCGAAAACAGACACTAAAAAGAGTTTCAAAACATTTTACCTATACTTATTATGTTTACAGTTTGACAGTTACAGTTATACATTCACAGCTTTACATTTTCTCTACATCTACGGATCGCTTCTATGGCAGCTATATGATATAGTTGTCCGATTTTTAAATTATTGTTACCAAAATTCTGAAATAATAAGTAAAGCTCATATCTCAGAATAGATAAAAATACGTTGAAAAACAACGAAGTTATAATTTTATCTTTTACTTTCCATATCGTTCCTATGGCAGCTATAAGATATAGTCGTCCGATTTTCATAAAATTTATACCAAAATTCTGAAATAATACCAGAAGCTCATGTGTAAAATACGTTGAAAACAACGAAGTTATAATTTTTTTCGATTAATTTTCCGATCGTTCCTATGGCAGCTATAAGATATAGTGGTCCGATTTTGATAAAATTTTTACCAAAATTCTGGAATAATATAAAATTGCTATATCTCAAAAATGATGCAATTATATTGAAAAACAGCCAAGTTATTATTTTTTTTCTAAAAATTTATCGAACATTTGTATGGCAGCTATATGATATAATCGTCCGATCCGGCCCGTTCCGACATATATAGTAGTGAGAGTATATAAAAGACTATATGCAAAGTTTCATTCATATAGCTTTAAAACTGAGGGACTTGTTTGCGTAGAAACGGAAAGACGGAGGGACAGACGGACAGACGGACATGGCTAGATCGACTCGGCTGTTGATGCTGATCAAGAATATATATACTTTATAGGGTCGGAAACGTCTCCTTCACTGCGTTGCAAACTTCTGACTGAAATTATAATAACCTGCAAGGGTATAAAAATAAAAGGAAATATATAAGACAGATAGGGTGACTGACGTATTGATAGACGTGACTAGATCGACTCTGCTGTTGATGATGATTAAGAAAATATATATTGTAAGGATGGGAAATCTTTTGATCATAATTATATTACCATATCAGGTTATGATTATAAAATTCCGAATTCAGAATTCCGGTTTAGTTTTATGGAAATCGGACCACTATATCATATAGCTGCCAACCGCAAGCTGCAAGGGTATACAAACTTTTGCGAGCTTCCTTTCCTGTTATAATTTATATTATATTAGGTAAATATTTCAACCAGATATATTTATTTTATTCGATTTTAAAATAATCTTGAAATATGATTAAAACCGAAATATTATGATATGTATAATTGTTTTATCTCCTGTTAGATTTTCATTTCTTTGACGCAAGCTGCAAGAGTATAGAAATTTAGATGTGCCGAAGTTAGCTTCCTTTTGTGTTCTTAAATTTTTAACTGAAGTAGTTGTGCCTGCAGGTTTATCTTCTAGACAACAAAAATTTAAGTAGTTACTACTAACAGATATTCTTACCTGCCAAACAATAACCGCACGCACTTTCTCCATCTGGATGCTTCTCCCGCATGTGAATCTCCAGCGTTTCCTGATATTTGTAATGCCAATTACATTGTGGACATTTTAGGGTCTTGCAGGAGTTTCGTGTGGACATTTGCACGCCGCTGTTTAATCGCGCTGAGCTAAGCAACATTTCGCAGCTAAAATACGATTATATTAATAATATAGCAACAATCAAAAGCTGCAAGATTTTATAATACATATAACGGCTGATACTAACGTAAACAACGAAGAGAGAAAGAAGAAGAATTGTCATACTTTTTGCTTTCGCATGAACTAACATTAGATAAATGTTGCGATAGAAAGGCTAAAAAAGTTGCCAGATCAAAGAACTTACAAGCTGTGATTTTTAGTGAAATAAATGAATTCATATCTTTCGAAAGTAAATATAAATATGAAGAAACTTAAGAAACAAAACATTTTCTAGAGTAATCGTTTTACTCTAATAAGTGCAGTTAAGAGCGAAGGCCGTGATTTTACCCACAAAAGGCATTGTATTTCGATCTTTAATTTCACTTTATGAAGTTTGTTTACATAAAACAGCCTTTTCGCCTTTTCTTTAAGCTATTTGGTCACACTGATTCCCGACCAAAAATCTATATCAATTTAGCATGGAACTTTTCGAAAGCAATTTATCTTTTGTTAGTACCAGACTAAAACAGAAATTGAAGGATTTACATCCTTATGGTTTACATTGTCTTAAATTTTAATACCCGGTACCTTATTCACGTTGTGGCTTAGAAAATTGTACCAACCAGAATAAGATATATTACTGATTCAATTTTAATCTTCTATTTTTTTTTTTTTGATACTTGTGCTAGAGATACCAAGATCCAGTTTGGTATACAATTAGGCCATCCCCATTTTTTATACCATAGCGTACAGTAACTAACCTATAAATTGTAAATAAATATTAATTCTTATAAAATGTTATTAAATCGGTTAATAACCGACTTACATATGAAATATACAATGAAATTTCTGTTCCATTTGGGTCGACAGCACCAGTTGGGTGCCGCTCAACATGTTTTTCATTTTAATTTCAACCACAATGCTTGGGGTACCGCGTATTTCACACGCGGTCTCACTCAACTGTTGCTTTCCTACTTTTTAAAATCACTTAGTACTTTGATTATTTTTAATTTGATAAACGCAGCATCCCATTTAACAACAAAGGATCGGTAAAATTTTAATGATACCCGGAGAACCCGAACTCGAACCCGAACCGACCACAGTCACCTCGGTAAGCGACACCACTAATTTGTGACAATTGAGAAACTGGGGGAGCATTTATTAAGTGAAATCAGCGCAATTGGTTTAATTTTTGTCTCCCATCCAGCATACACAAAACATAAAAAAAGATCTTAAACTTTTCTGTTAACTGAAACACACAGGCATAAAATTTACATATTTATATTTTACAGGGAAAAATGGCATCGAGGCTGATTAATTAATATCAAATGGGAAGCTCTGATTTCTTTAAGTTACTCTTCTCTGAACCATCATGGTATAAAGATTTTTCGGTAGAATTATTAATGTTATACGGTTTTTTATTTTTCTGTTTTTTTTTCAATGCATCATGAAAACGTTTTAAAACTTTTTAAGTTAAAGGAAGGGGTCCGAACTTAGATACCGCCGGATCCGATACCCCGGGGCCCTGATTTTCTTTCCGCACTCCTGGCTGCCAAAGAAACGACCGGAAAATTTTTAGAAAATAAATTATAACTTTACTGTTTTACAATATATTTTCATCTACTGAGATATGGCCATTGTGTATTATTTCCAAATTCAATTTTAATTTTATGAAACTCGGACGACATGTCATTTAGCTGCCCTAAGAAAAATCGGAAATTTTTTAAGAAAAAACTTATAATTTTATTGTTTTTTAATATATTATATATTTATATATATAGGTAAATGCAATAAATATTGTTATTACTTCGTTTTTTCAGCATATATATTTATATTTATCATTTTTATTATATTACATATTTCTAATCTGAATTATTGTCATTTTATACTACTTTAAATAATGCTCATTAAATGTATCAAGTTTTTTCATTCATTAGCCGAAAATGGATCGATTATTCATGATTAAATTCCAAACTACAAGGCTTTACAAACTTCGGCATGCCGAACTTAGCTTCCTGTCTTATTTTCAAATTCTCTAATATGTCAAAATGAACAATAATAATTATTTAAAAATAAAAGTGATGGCAATCAGGGACTATCGTGTTAACTAACACCAGTTATGCGTGCTTCAAAACCCCAAATCCCAAACGTCATTTGCGTTTAAATGAACAAGATAGTCCAGTCAAGCCAGCCAAAATTACCTAAGGGCATAGCATAACTCCTCCTCACACATATTTCTATATCGCAATTACTGGTTCCTGTTTCCTTGGCCTAATGACTTATTGTTCAGCTCAGCTCTCGTTACAGTTACAGTTCAAAAGTTCAAACGCGTAGCCTTAAATAATTAGTCATATTAGGGCTGTGCTTGGACGGACACGTAATCGCAACCCTTTCTGTCCATCCGGCATAATAATATTTGCACCCCGTTATTTAACTACCCCATAGCAAGTAACCTAACGAACCGCTGACGGCACATTGCTTCTGAAGTCTACTCAATTTATTTATATATATATATATATATATATATATATATATATATATTATACAAAAAATTCGAAAAACCTTAAGCATACACAAAACAAAAAATTTGTAGGTATATTTAACCGAATACCGCAAAGAAAATGGGCCAAGCCACAGTAAGTTGTGGAATTAACTGTGAGCCAAAGTATAAGGTACTTTAGTCTTAACGTGATTTAGCTTTTCTAAAGTAAATTCATTCAGAAATCTGGAGTTGGGAAAACGTAATGTTACTGCAATTTGCCTTTGTTAATAAACAACAAAAATATATATAATAATAATATTAATGCTAAATCAAGAAAAATACCTGCTCATATTGTTGGATGCTTAATTTCCTTTACTTAAGGGGTTATATACAGTTGTACCGCTCAAAAAAATTCAATTTTGTCGATTTTTTTTGACTTCATAAAAAATATGTATTAAAAATGTCTTGCCGACGTTGTTTAGTACATGTTTCTGGGTACTTTATACAATTTTTTTTATAAAAAAATATTAAATATTAAAAATGTTATGGCCGAATTCCAAGATCGTCTTTTTTTCGATGTTGACTTGCGGTGGACATCATATCCCGAGAACGGTTCATCCGAAATCAAAAATTTAAAAAAATTTCGTTAGTATATTGTATTGCCTAGTCCTCTAGACCATGGATTTGTAAAAATTTTGATTAAAAAAAAAAATGGTGACGGTTTTAAAAAAAAATTGACTTTTTCAAGGTATAAGATTTTCGATTTTTATGCTCTAAAAAAATGTTTAAAAAAAAATTAAAAATTCTTCGTTAGAGGACTAGCTATTGTTATAATAAATATGTGGTAAAAATTTGGTGTTGATCGGATTAATAGTTTTTTAGTAATCGTGTCCACCGCAAAGGTAACTTCGAAAAAAACGATTCTGAGATAATCGCGTTTAAAGTTTCAAGTTTGTTCCGGCCGAAGTGCAGGTCGTGCGCTATAAATAGCTACAACCACGGTTGTAATGCTCCGATCGTTCTGAATTTTTGTGAGAGTATTCTCAACAGTATATACTTGAAGAATATGCAATAAAAAAAAGTCTTTTTTTTATCATCACAACTTTATATAACCCCTTAAGCAAAGAACTAAAGCCTGGTAATAGGATAAGATAAATCTGCTGTAAAAATTATTTTTTTAAAACGCAGTAAAGAGAGAAAGGAAAGGACTTTCATGTCTAGGTACTAACATAAGATAAATGTTGCGAGCGAAAAATTTTGAAAACGAACTGAGCAACTGTGATTTTGATCTCAAAGTAATTATATCAAATTATTTTTGAAGGCATCTTAAAGGGAAAATTGGCTATAGGAATTAAAATAAAATAAAATAAAAGTGTTATTTCATAATGAACTGACACTCCAAATTTCAAAATGAAATAAAAAAAATTAAAAAAAAGGTAAAACGAATGAAGTTCCCGAAATTTTTAGGAAATACAACAAAAATTATATTTAATTCTTTTGTTTAATTTTTATTGAAGTAGAAATATTTTATCCCGAAAAATGCAATATTGACTTTAACATGCTGTAAAAAATATAAAAAGCGGTTTTCAACAACCGTTTTAGTTCAAATAGAAGAGAATTTAATTCTAAAGCGAATAAGCCTTTATTCGTTTCAATCGGTCAATAAGTTTTTTTGTTATCTTTCCCGCCAATTCGAAAGAATCGTAAAAATGAAAGTGGAGAAAACGCGCTTCAAAGTTCGCCAAGCGCCTGCAAACCTGCTCGGCGCTCCTTTGCTTTCTTCTCTGTATCTTCGAAAATACTTCGAATTCGCTTCTGAAATTTTTGTGGTATATTCTTAGATAGTTTATCTATCGAGTTAAGCAATAAAAAAAAATCGATTTTTTTTTGCCTCCTAATTCAGGAAACCCCCTTAAGAACCGTTGTTCTTATTCCATACAACATTTTTGAGGACTTTTTTATTTTCCATAATATGAGATTTAACCGACAAAGGGCATTTTAATTCAATTTATATTAACAGTGCCTTGGGGGCCATTGTCGCGGAGTTAATTTGGTTAGTTGCTCTATAGCTTTATACATCATTTATCAGGCCTGCTCCGGTAATCGTAAAATTTTTTCGTTTTGGGCGAAATCGTTCGTTTTCGTTTTTAGCTGCTCCGGCTTTCGGAAAATTTCTGCTATCGTTTTGCTATCGGAATGTTTCGTTTTCTCATCGTTTCTTACGCTCAAACAGCTAATTTGTGATTTTGGTCAAAAGTAAGCAAGGTGGCTTAGAACCTTGTCGCCCTTACTAAGCCCCCTGGAAAAATCTGGGTTGTCCTTCATAAACCCCAGGATGACCTCATCCTGGAAAGTCCATTTGTGCTTTCCTCTGAAAATAATAGCTCTGTGTTTAATTAAAAATAAGCAATCAATATTTGTGCACTTGTATTTTCAAAAATTAATTCAACGTAAAACAGCTGTGTTCCACAAGAGCGGGCTACCACATCTCTCACAGTTTTAATTCCGGTGGTCTCAATTAATTATTTGGTCAATTTTGACCATTTAAATAATCAAATTAAATAGCATTATTTAGAAACAACAATATTGGCGTTCCTTTAAAGTTATTAATGTATTCATTTATATTTTATAAGTATTTTTAACTGGCTGTTTTGTTCCACCAGCAACATGGCAGCCATGGCGATAACTTTTTGCGAACATGGCAAAAATGTTGTTGTCAAATCTGAGGTGGGGTCAGAAATATAATGTTTATAAAAAAACTACCTGCCAGAATGATCTTGTGGTGGTGTTGAATAAACATCAATAGGGCATTTCATTCCGGCCAGACAAAGGTGCCCGTTTTTCAAATCGATAAAATCTTTCTTTTTCGGAAACTGGAGCAACGATTTCTCGTTTTCAAAAACGAAAAAATCTTCCCGTTTTCGATTACCAGAGCCAATCCGATTACCAATCCGTTCAAATTGATTTAGACTTTACTACATAAAGTTTGTTTACAAAAAATAAAAGCAGCTGGAAATACGTGACAGTGAGACCTCTATGTTTTTGGACATACTAGTTTTCGAGCAGAATATATTGCTATTCCCATAGAAAAATGTATACAGCAGATTCTGAGAATTATCTCTTGTGAACTTTTTCTAATCTCAAAGTAAGTAATTATCGCATACATACCGCGCACAGTCCACACCCTGGGGACGTCCGTTGATGTGATCCGAACAGGCACCAATAGTGAAGCTGGACGTGGCGCCTGTTGCTGCGCTTGTGCTTGTTGCCGCTGCATTTCCCACGCTGGTTACTGATGATGAACTAGGAGACATGGCCAGGTTGTTGCATGGCGAGCGAAGTGGCGGAACCTGAAGCTGTGGCAAAGATGGTGACTTGGTCCTTCCTTGGATTTCAAGGAATTCACAAGTTTTACAATCGACACCATTAAAATCAGGATGTTCGAGACATTGGCTGGGAAATAAGGAACTTTGATGTTGCTGCTGCGATTGCTGATGTTGCTGCAGTTGCTGTTGAAGGAACTCGGTTATAAGCTTAACACGATTGCCATTTGATTCAGTATTGTTGGCGGCCAGAGCTGCTAGCGAAGCATGGAAAGAACTGACTTGAGGAGGGAATACGCCAGGAGCAGTGGCTGCCAAGAAATCAGAGCTGGGAACCTCTGATAATTCATTTCTTTGAGGTGACAATGATGAGCCTGGATTCATTTCTACTTCCAATGATGACTCTTCTGACTTATTATTAATATTATTACTTAGATTATCAGTACGGGATAATGATGAGACCTCGCCGGAACTGGTTGAGGACGATGATGAGGGTACAGATACTTTCGATAGTTTATTAGTCTTTGTTGTTTCTGTTACTGAGTTTAAGGAACCAAATTTCATAGATGACTTCACTTGATGATGATAATATGCACTAGGTGCTGCCATTTGATTATTACTAACATGATCAGATTCGTGATCGTTTTCAGAATCATTCTGTGGCTCCCGCTCTCGACATTGATCATGATTATCATTCTCATTCTCTTTCTCTTGTTTATCAGTTTTAGGAGGAATAGGACCAACCGCATCGGTAGATATCTGTTGTAGATTCTTTTCATCGGCGACATCACCGGCGGTATTAATATCCAATGGCTGCAGAAATGATATCGATGGCTTTTCATCCATATTTCGCTGTATTATGGCGCTAGAATACTCCCGTTTAAGTAGTTGCTGTTCCAACTCGATTAAATTGAGCTTGTGTTCGGTGTTAGCATGCAAGCTAAAGGACTTGACGTTGCCAAATGATAATTTGCATATGAAGCACATTAATATGGGTTTTTGAATCTTGAATATTATATCTCTGGTTGGATTTGAATTAGCATCCTGCGCCGTTACCACACGAAATGAATGGATCCTGGGACTGGTTTTGTACAGAGTCTCCTGCTCTTGCTCCTGTTTCTGATGCTGCTCCTGCTCCTGTTGTTCTTTTTTTTCTTTTGCTTCCACAAAACCGATATCGTTGGCATTCGAAAAGTTCTTTTTTACAGAAATCGATGCTGTTGCTTGCCTAAACTTCGATGTTTCACCATTTCCATTATCATTGGCACTATCTGCATCGATAATATAGGCGCTACTGCCATCAAGATTGTATACTATTTTGCCATTAAAAGTTTCCACGTCAGTACTGGACATTGGAGAGCCGTCTTCGTCATTACCATTATTATAGAAGCTGAAATAAATAAATTGTGTTAAATATTAATAATAATAGGTTCTTAAGGGCTAGGAAGAACTGCATGTTTTCTCATATAAAAAGACCGATCGCTTTTAAGATAGCTTAAGCACTAAAAATGAAGACTATCTGGGAAGTTTAATTCAGATGAAAAACTTGGATTGCTAGTTTGCATAGTAAGGACAGCTGGCAAATATGTATATATATATAATAATTTTTTTTTATTATTAAAAAAAAATGCAGTAGGAAAGTAAATTGTAAAATAAAAATCACATAAAATATATACTTACTTACTTACTACTAATACTGCATTTTTTTTAATAATAAAGATTATTATTGTTTGTTCACACTTTAGTCCGCATTTGGGAATTGGTAGAAGTAGTTGGAGAAATTGTAAAGTTCACTGCCTTATCGTTATGCGCAAGACAAAGGAAGTCAAGGTTTTCCCTGCTTACTGACTTCCCCCGATCCGCATCCGTTCTTCTTTTGATTCGTTCGAAAAATATTTCGCGCGTGCCTCTGTTCCTTTTTTTTTGTTGTATGTCTTTATTTCTGTGGAGTCGTCGTTATCTGTTCTTCATATTCCTCAACTGGTTTCAAAGTCAGAGTCAAGTTTTTTTTGTGCTGCCTTTACACCCACATACAAAATTCCGTGATATATCAGCCACCATCGAGTGGTGCGGTGGTTTGATTCTGACTCTGTTCCACGTATACACAGTAATAAAAAAAACCCAGTTAAAATTAATATTTTTTTTTCGGGCATCGCAGGCATTTTCAAATCGAAAACTTCAGCCCTTTATTCATATAAAAACACTGTTGGAATTGATAGGCCATTATTGGTATCCATATTCTTTTCTCTCCGTGTAGCTACAGCCACCTCTTGAGCTTTGCTTGTGGCGTTTTAGCTGCGGCGCGGCTTTTGCAGTTGGCTGCAGTTGAGGTTACAGTTGGCTTGGTATGCAAACGACTTTTGGACGCAAAGCCAGAGAGAAACCAAAGAACCCAGGACGAGATCCAAGCATAGCACCTTTAGTCTATAAGAATGGATTTTGTGTTCTTTTCTTCTCTTCAAGAATGCCAATATTCATCGGACAACGCGACGTGCTTAGTTTTTGCGTTACCTCTCAAAGATATTCCCAGTCTTTGCTCAATAACTTAAGAATTTTTAACTGAATCTGCCTAGCTTTATAGAAGCACTTGTTTGTTTGCTTCTAACCTTTAAATTTCACGTACAGTTGTGTTCAATATGCAGGGTATTATTGCAGGGTATTACAAATTTAGTAAGAAGTAAGAGTCATTTCCGACCATATAAAGTATATGTAAACTTATTATATATGTATAACCGAGTCGATCTAAGCAAATTAGTCTCTCCCACTAGTATATAAGTCAGAACGGACGACTATATCATATAGCTGTCATAGGAAAAATTGGATAATATTTAAGAAAAAACCGGTTTTAAAAATATAATATATTCATCTACTTTGAGATATGACAAAAGGAATTATTTTAGAATTTCGGTTTTAATGTTGTATAAACCCAGAAAACTCTTTATATAGCCTCCGAAAACCCGATCGGGAAATTATTGGAAACTATTTATAACTTCGCGGTTTTTAAACCATTGCAGGGTATTATAATTTCAGTCAGAAGTTTGCAACGCAGTGGAGACATTTCCGACCCTATTAAGTTTATATATATATATATATATATACCAGCATAACAGCCGAGTCGATCTAGCCATGTCCGTCTGTCCGTCCGTCTGTTTGTTTCTATGCAAACTAGTCGCTTATTTTTAAAGCTATCTAAATGAAACTTAGCAAATAGCCTTTTAAATACTCCCACTGCTATATGTGTCAGAACGGGCCGGATCGGACGATTATATCATATAGCTGGCATACAAATGATCGATACATTTTTGGAAAAAAAATTGTAACTTGACTGTTTTTCAACATACTTTCGTTATTTTTTAGAATTGGCGATTTTTTTAAATTTCATATTTTTGCTTTAAATTTTATGAAAATCGGACGACTATATCTTATAGCTGCCATAGGAACGCTCGGGAAATTAACCCTCTAGTGCCCAAATTTTTGTTTCACAAAAAAAAGAATTATTTTTGGATTCAGTATGTATCAAAAGTGAATGTTTGTTTTAGAAAAAATTTTACTTTTGCTCGGATTGAGTTTTATATGACTCCAAGGTTTTGGACCGCATGAAGGCGATTTTGGGAAGATAGGCCAGAATGAAAATAATAAAATAACGGTGTTTTTAACATTGCCCATCTAGAGGCGTTCTTGGGCACTAGAGGGTTAATAGAAAAAAATTATAACATTCACTCTGATATATAAGCTTTTGTTATTATTTTTGAATTTTGGTATAAATTTTATGAAAATCGGACAACTATATAGCTGCTAGAGAAGCGATCGGTAAATGTAGAGAAAATGTAAAGCTGGAAATGTAAAACTGTAACTGTCAAATTTAAAATGTATTGAAGCTCTGCTTGTGTGTTTTTCAGCATTTTATTTATGCTATGTTTTACATATACAACTTTTATTTTTATTTAACCGTAATGGCTTGATTCTTAATAATCAAATTGCAATCTGCAAGGGTATACAAACTTCGGCGTGCCGATCAACTCTAAAATATAAGCTTTTTTTACTATTTTAGAATTTTTGTATAAATTTCATAAAAATCGGACAACTATATCATATAGCTGCCATAGAAGCGATCGGTAAACCTTTTGTTATTCTCAAAATCGGAAGATAAGCACTTGCATGCAGAAGTTATATAATGTATGTATTGAAATGAAAAGAGTTAATAACAATGGTTGTTGTTGTGCTTGCATGCACACACTCACTTACATACATTGTCTGCTAATTCGTGTGCAACTGCACGCACACACATTATATTTAAGTTGTCAACGGAAAAAATGTACGTACATATGTATGTATGTACATAGGCATAGTTGCAGTTGGCAGTTGGGAAAACGCATTTTCAGATAATTGCCGAGTGAACTGACGAACTGAGTTTGCTAGAGTAATTACCCGGTTAGATGGTTATTGTTCTTTTTTGACCTTTTATTGTCGTCGTAGGTAGTTATTGTTAATACGGAATTGCTTCCTTGACAATATAGTACGCACGCTTCGCAGGCAAAGGGTGGGTATTGCAATGTTAATTAAATTCAAAGTTCGTTAAAAATTGTACAGGTTACTTGAGCGATATTTAGTTATTATACCCTTGCAGGGTATTATAATTTCAGTCAGAAGTTTGCAACGCAGTGAAGGAGACCTTTCCGACCCTGTAAAGTATATAAATTCTTGATCAGCATCAGCCGAGTCGATCTAGCCATGTCCGTCTGTCCGTCTCTCTGTCTGTCCGTCTGTCCACCTGTCCGTTTCTACGCAAACAAGTCCCTCAGTTTTAAATGTATCAGAATGAAACTTTGCATATAGTCTTCTATATACTCTCACTGCTATATATGTCGAAACGGGCCAATCGGACGACTATATCATATAGCTGTCATACAAATGTTCGATACATTTTTAGAAAAAAAATTATAACTTGGCTGTTTTTAAAAATTTTAACATCCTTTTTGGGATATATCCATTTTATATTATTCCAGAATTTTGGTAAAAAGTTTATGAAAATCGGACAACTATATCTTATGGCTGCCATAGGAAGGATCGGAAAATGAATAGGAAAAAAATTATAACTTCGTTGTTTTTCAACTTATTCTTATCTACTTTTAGAAATAAGCTTCTTTTATTATTTCAGAATTTTGGTAAAAATTTTATGAAAATCGGACAACTATATCATAAAGCTGCCATATAAACGATCGGTAAATGTAGAGAAAATGTAAAGCTGGGAATGTAAAACTGTAACGTCAAACTGTAAACATAATAAGTATACGTAAAATTTAATGAAACTCTGTTTTGTGACTGTTTTCGGTATTATAATCTATAATATAAACATCAAAACCAATCTGCAAGGGTATACAAACTTCGGCGTGCCGAAGTTAGCTTCCTTACTTGTTAAAGTTTCTTGTTTGTTAAACTTATATAATTATTTGCATTTCTAAATATCTTTAATAATACTGTCTTTTAGTTAGTTATATTTTATCATTTATTCGAATGATTTCTGGCATAAATCCGACATTTTCAAAAGACACATTTTCGATTGTCTAATACTGTCTTCCCACACAGCGCATTTGTGAGGAACGTTTGGGATTTTTCACAAATGTGAAACTCGTGTTCCCACACAACATTAAAGCGCATTTAGCATCCGAACAGCTGATCGATCAGCTGTGGCTCATGAAAACGTAAACAAAGGCTGTCGAATTGGCAGTCGCAATTTTGAAATGGAGCATTTACCAACTATTTTGGCTGTTGTAGAACAGCAAAAGGCACAGATTGCGTCAGAATTTATCCGCAATAAATTTAAATGAATTAAATGACAAGGAATTTTAGTTTTTCTAATGATTTTTCTCTAACAAAGAGCAAATTCCCCGAAGAGTGTCTATAGGTGGTATACGCATCCAAAATCTTTAATATAAGGTAGAGGCAGGCGGTTTATATTAAATAATAACAATTGGGGACATATTGGGGCAAGAATATACAGAAAAAACGCCAAGAACTATTTTGAGCATGCTTGTAGCTTTGGCGCCACGTTTTAAATTCCATATCTCATTTGTTCCTCGCCAAATTGTTTACATTTTCGTGGTGAATGGTCAAATTAAGAAGAAGAATCAGAGTTGCACCGAAGAACTATCGCCTAACTATCGCCAAACAAACCGTGGTTAGATTTTAATGCTGAACTAACGCCGGCCCATTTGGGAAAATTCGGAACGGCAAAACCTTATGGAGCATTTGTTCAACGGATGCTAAATGCGCTTTAATGTTGTGTGGGAAGACCCTATAAGCAACTCGGTCCGCAGCAGACATGAGATATCGCGCATATTTTCAGCGATGATAATATTAATTAAAGAATACATCAACTGTTCGTTTAAATGGTGGCGATAAGTCCGATTTAAAAAAAAAAAAAAAAAAAAAAAATACCGAAATTCTAGAATAAGACAAAATAGCTGTCTTAAAGTAGATGAAAAGAACCTGCAAAGTTTCATAAGGATGATTCAAAACTGACGATAGATTCAAACTAGTTTGCGTAAAAACGGTCGGACGGGCAGTCAGACATAGCTAGATCGACTCGGCTGTTAATGCTGATCAAGAATATATATGTATACTTTATAGGGTCGGAAACTTTTGACTAAAATTATAATACCCTGCAAGGGTATATAAACATTGTTTTAATTGCTACTCCACCCACTGTATTCTCCCAGGACAATAAGATGCTATTGCTTCAGACTGCACATGTATTGTTTGAAAAAGGAAGACCTAGAATGATCGTCTAGAATCTTGGGAAATTTAGTTTAAGTTCATTAACAATTTAAATGATAATTTTACAGTAAATCTTTTGGCTTGTCAGTTTATTTAATTGCGGTTTCCTACAGGAATCATTTATTACATCCAGCTCAAAAAAAGGAAGCCAACTTCGGTTCGCCAAAGCTTCTGTAAAAGTAAATTTTGTTTTAATAAGATTATATTTTCTTACAAATCCCAACTACTTCAAACATGGTATGGTCCTAATGGTTAGTAATTTTCCTAAAATCCTAGGCCATGCTATTTTGCATATGTGGGGTGTTAATATTTTTAATACGAGGTTATTGCTGCAAAATCACTTTGAAAGATAGAGTAATGGTGAAGTGGATAAATAAAGGAGGTACACCAATCTGCAAAGTACAATATATGAAATCTGTACGATGTCTGTGATTGTATTCATTTTTTTTACTAAGAAATCGCCTTTTGTTCTCAAGAGAAGAGCTCCCCAGCAGCAGCGACATAAAAAAGTTGCGAATATAAAACAAAAGTGTCACTTGCCGAGGGTCTGGAGGTAAACCAGACGATGTCCGAAGCTTGAGCTTGCATTGTTATTATTCCCCTTTTGTCTTGATTCTTCTCTTTTCCTTTCATTTATTTGTGTATTTGTGGAGTATGTAGGTATAGGTGCGTTTTTACCAGGAGAAGAGCCCCACAATCATTCATTTCGGTAAGATCAATGAATATCGATACGACAATATACCTGGGGAGGCAGAAGAGAACTGCTACAAAAAAGGTAACCAGAAGGCAAGGGATTCAGTTTGATGAACTGTTTTCAAAAATGTGCAAAAAGGAGTATATAGAGGAAAAAACAAACAATAAATTAAATTTTTTTTCAGCCTTCATTAAAATTGTCGCCGCATTGTTCCTCCAGCCGAATGAATATGTTAATGAGTGTGAGATTGTGAGCTTTTCGCAGACACAGTGTACCATATGTATTTATGTACATATCTGGATAAAAAAATATGTTGCCTATTAACGAATAAAATGTATCAAACGATCAAACCAAAAAATATATGAAGGTTTAATATATCCATTAGTTCGTCGTTCGTTTAACAAATGCGGAGGTAAACGTTTGATTACTATAGGGTCAATCAAGTGAGTACCCATGAACTTATCACAAGATAATAGGTGGTTTGGCTACGTTTACAATAGGGTCAGGAAGGAAGTACTCATACACGAACTAGTTAGGTATCTAGTTGGGCATCTAGGCATGGTCAATCTACTGTAGGGTTACTATTGTAATAATATTTCAGGAAAGCAAGGGCAATTTTTCTTAAATAAAGAACAAGAAAGGAAGCTAACTTCGGCACGCCGAAGTTTGTATACCCTTGCAGATTGCAATTGGATTATTAAGAATCGAGCCATTTTGGTTAAATAATTTGCAAAAAATACATTTTTACATTTTACATTTTCTCTACATCTACCGATCGTTCTATGGCAACTATATGATATAGTTGTCCGATTTTCATAAAATGTATACCATAAAAATTTGTCGATCATTGCTATATCACCTATATGATATAGTTGTCCGATCCGCCCCGTTCTGACATATATAGCAGTGAGAGTGTTCAGAAGACTATATGCAAAGTTTCAATTATATAGCTTTAAAACTAAGGAACTAGTTTGCATAGAAACAGACACACGGACATGGCTAGATCGACTCGGCTGTTGATGCTGATCAAGAATATACATACTTTATAGGGTCGGAAAGGTCTCCTTCACTGCGTTGCTAACTTCTAACTGAAATTATAATACCCTAAAAGGGAATACAAATTGAGGGACTAGTTTGCATACTTACGGACAGTCGGACATGTCCAGATCGATGCTAAACAAGAGTATTATAATTTATAGGGTCGAAATTGACGAAAATCACTGCGTTGCGAACTTCAATTATAACAATATCTTTACTTTCATTAAACGATAACTGAAGCCAAATTTGAGATGCAAAGTTTTTATACCCTTGCAAATAAAGCCAAATAATAAATAAATTATATAATATAATCGAAATAGTCGGGGAAGCATCGGTAGTGCCACCATAGTTTTTGTACAGGAACAGGAGCAGAGTAATAATGGTGGAAAAGGATAACAAAATAAATTCGTATTTTAAAAAAAGTTTAAGTTTTTAAAGGTTTTTTTTTTATGTCTTACTGCTATGAGATTATTAAAATATGTACGACAATAGCCCCTTATTGGGCTTAAGGGTAAATCACATTTTGAATCCATCCATGAATTCATTAATAACAAAGACCTGTAAGTCGTTCACAGGATGCGGCAACACCCGAGGACTGTTTTCGAGGAGGATTCACGAAGATTTGGTTCCAGAGCAAGGGTTCCGTACCAAAGAGGAGAAGCAAAGATAAAACAGAGTAATATTAAAGCGAATTAATACACAGAAAATACATATATACAATATCAAAAAGGGAGAAGGAACCAACAACAACAAAACAAAAACAATGATAAAGAAAAAATGTATTGTATTTTATTGAAGAAGGAATTGTTTTCTCTTTGCCTCTCAGTTTTTCTCGGAACAGAACAGAACACAGGGTGATGTATGAGCTGCTCCATAGGCTCAGAAACACAATACCGGGGGCTCTGTTGAGTCGATTCAAGAAATTGAAATGGGGATTGCAATTCAGGATGGACGAAACAGATAGCAACGACGAGCCATTAAGCCGTTAAATCGGAACGACAGTTGTCGTCGTCCTTCAGGCAGATACTATGAAACCTTAACAAACTACACATACGTACATACACACATACATCAGAGGCAGGAGCAGACCACAAAGACAACAATTGGCAGATATATCGTCTCAAGATCATAGTTATTTTTGCGTTACTTTCGATCTTATAATAATTAATATTTCATACAATTAACATATATAAACCAATTAATTTATAATACAAAACAAAATGCTTTCTTTATTTATTGTTTTGAATTTTGCAAAGCTATAAATGACATTTGAAACTCACCAACTTATTGACTTAAAGCATGGTCACCCCTTTTGGAAAATTGTGAATATTCTGAAAAAAAAAACGATTATTTAGTTTGCAACGCAGTGAAGGAGACGTTTCCGACCCTATAAAGTATATATATTCTTGATCAGCATCAACAGCCGAGTCGATCTAGCCATGTCCGTCTGTCTGTCTGTCTGTTTCTACGCAAACTAGTCCCTCAGTTTTAAAGCTATCTAAATGAAACTTTGCATATAGTCTTCTATATGCTCTCACTGCTATATATGTCGGAACGGGCCGGATCGGACGACTATATCATATAGCTGCCATACAAATGTGCGATATATTTGTAGAACAAAAATTATAACTTTGCTGTTTTTCAACATTTTTGCACCATTTTTTAGATATGGCCATTTTATATTATTTCAGAATTTTGGTAAAAATTTTATGAAAATCGGACGACTATATGATATAGCTGCCATAGGAACGGTCGAGAAATAAATAGGAAAAAAAAATTATAGTTTCGTTGTTTTTCAACGTATGTTTATCTACTCTGAGATATAAGCTTTTTTATTATTCTAGAATTATGGTGTAAATTTCATAAAAATCGGACAACTATATCATATAGCTGCCATATAAACCGATCGGTAGATGTAGAGAAAATGTAAAACTGGGAATGTAAAACTGTAACTGTCAAACTGTAAACATAATAAGTATACGTAAAATGTAATGAAACACTGTTTTGTGAGTGTTTTCAGCATTTAAATCTATATTATAAACATCGAAACCAATCTGCAAGGGTATACAAACTTCGGCGTGCCGAAGTTAGCTTCCTTTCTTGTTTTTTTTTTTCATTCATAACAGAAAATATATAAAAGTTATATATTTATACAAAACATATAATAATTAATTAAAAAAAAAAATTATAGAATAGTTTTAATTTAGATTTAAAAATATTTAATATAATAAATAAATATAAAGGCTGAAAAAACAAATGAATACAAAGTTTTATTATACCTATATGTATATGTATATATAGTTTTCCGATTTTTATAAAATTAAAACCAAAATTCTAAAATAATAAAAAAAAACGCTCATATCTCAGAATAGATTAAAACACGTTTAAAAAAGGAGTTATAAAATTTGTTCCTTTAAACTTGCTGATTTTTCCTATATACAGTATGATAAAGAATTTTTTATAAACATTTTTGGAGCTCCTTTAAAGTTATTAATGTAATCTTTTATATTTTATAAGTATTTTTACCTGGCTGTTTCGTTCATCCAACAATATGGCAGCCTTGGCGATAACTTTTTGCGAAGGACTTATGAACACGGCAAAAATTTGTTGGTCACAACTGAGGTGGGGTCAGAAAAAATTTTTTCTGAAATTTCTCCTTTGGTACCGCTTTAGAACGCATCTAAATTTAACCACCGTTTGTTGGCGATAGTCGTTAGTTTTTCGGTGCAACTCTGATTACTTCTTCTTAAGTGAAAATTTGACCATTCACTACAAAAATGTAAACAAAGTTGGCGAGGAACAAATGAAATATGGAATTTAGAATTTGGCGCCAAATCTGCATTCATCCCCAAAAATCTCGTTGGTGTTTTTTTGCAACTATTCAATATAAACCGTCTAGCTCTACTTTATTTTATAGATTTTGGAAGCCTTTACCACCTATACACACTTTTCGGGGCATTTGCTCTTTGTTAGAGAAAAATCATTAGAGCAACTCAAACTCCTTGTCATCTAATTCATTTTAATTTAGTTTTGCTGTTGTTAAACAGTCTAAATAGTTAATAAACTATTCATTTTACACCCACATCGGCCTCTTCAGCCATCTTTGCCTACGTTTTTATAAGCCACAACTGATCGATCAGCTGTAATTTGATGCAGTTTAATGCGCTCTGTTAAAATACAAGTTTCGCATTTGTGAAACATCCCAACCGTTCCAAACAAATGCACTGAGTGGGAAGACAGTATAAGTAAATAAGATCTGCTTTCATATACAAAAAAACATTTACTTTTCATTACGGCCCGATAAAGGTGCCGGTTTACAAATCGAAACAATCGTACGTTTTCGAAAACCGGAGCCCCGATTTTTCGTTTTCGACTATTGGAGCAGGCCTGAATAATAGTCGGACGATTATATCATATAGTTTCCATTGGAACGATCGGTGGATGTAGGGAAAAATCTAAAGCTGTAAGTGTAAAACTGTAACTGTGTTATTAAAAAATGTTTAGGAAAATGTAATGAAAGTTGTTATTACTTTTTCTCATTTTGCATATATATATGTATATTTAAAATTTCTAATATATTTGACATTTCAAATCCAAAATATATATATATATATATTATCAAAAACATATTGTTATATGCTATACACATATATATATTGAATATATCTCCTGTTAGTTAGTTAGTTTTTCTTTTCATTTAAGGGTCCATTCTGGTTAGTTGGGCCAAAAAATAGGTCATTTTCAGAAATTTTTTGTGGACAAACGAAAAGACATAGAAAGTTCAAACTTGTCATATATATTTATCATAGTTTAAAGATTATTTAGCAAAATTTTCAAAAATTTGTAGAGCATGTCCTGAAGCAGGACACAGGGCGACGTAAGCCCATGCCCAAAAAAGGCACCCCTCTGGCGACCATCCTGCAGGACGTAAAAATCGACTGAAACAAAAAATTCAAATATGTTCTTGTTTAGTATTAAGGTGGTTATGGAATAGGCTACTTTTTTCAAAATTGAATAAAAAATAAGAAAATGGCGGCGCCTCAAAAATTTTTTTTCGTTTTTTTGAAAAATTTCTTCACTTTTTTGTTGATTAAAAATCCAATGTTTGAGCTATCAATATAATTGTAGCCTATTCCATGGACACGTTAATTACGCGTATTTTAAAAAAAAATTCATTAAGATTCATTAAAAATTGACGGAGATATTATGGTCGCCAGCTCGAAAAATGTAGTTTTCCAGAAAACGCGTTTAAAGTTTTATGTTTCCTCTGTAACTGCTTTGAGTCGGCCGGTTCGGAGGCTCATAACTTTTAAACTATTACGTATTTCGATTTGCCCTTTTAGTATGATATTCTAGACACCTAAAGCTATCAAAAAATGCAAAAAAAAAAAATTCGATTTTTTTTTTTCAACTAACCAGAATGGACCCTTAACCAAAAGGAATCGATTTCTATTGATCGAATTTCAAACTGCAAAGGTATACGAACAACTTTTGTACTGTACTACTGTATTATCGATCAACCATCGTAATCTCCTGATTTGGCTTCGTGTGACATTATTATTATTATTATTCCCAAAACTCAAAAGACAACGATAAGAGCTGAATCGAAGAAGGCGCTCATGGCTATACCGGAAAGAGACTATTTGATGTTTCGAAGATTTGAATAAACTTTGGCATAAGTATTTTTTATCGGTATTTTTAATTTTACCAACATATTCACATTGCTTTTTGTTTACAATTTTGTATGTAAATCTGTCTCGTGGAATATTCATAGAAATAATATATATACTTTCATAGAATTATGACCAATAACTTGATATCTCCCAGTTGCAAAACCTTATGTTCAAACCAACAATTCTATATCCATAAATCCTATCCGTCTATTGGACAACTTATCATATAATTACAATACTACAGGGAGGGCAACTCAGATTCAAGTGATATATGTATGTATGTATAAAAAATATTAAAATTGAAACAAAAAAAAACAAGAAGCGTTGGGATAAAAAAAAAAAAAAATTTGAAACATGAAAGGAAGCTAACTTTGACACGCCGAAGTTTGTTTTTCAGTTTGCAATCGGCTCATTAAGAATCGTTTTTGCTCAAATGAATAAAAATACTAACAGCATAAATTATATATAACAAGAACTATTATACATATACATACATACATAGATGCGTGGAAACAGACAGACGAAAGGACTATCGTATATGTCTTGATCAACTCGGCTATTTATACTGAAATAGAATACATATAGAAGCATTAAGCCGTTTGGGGCTTTATATTTCAATTGTTTTAGAAGAAAATACAATATGGTTTTTTTTTTTTTGTGTGAGAAACTTTGAAGGTTGCGACTGGCTTTTAACCCGGCAAAGATGGATCAAAAAACCAGAGGCGAGGAAATGATCTCATATGAAGTTTGGAACATTAGAAGTATGCACATATGTACATATGTATGTATATATACAACAATTTTCACCAAATGCATATTATAGGAATATTTATAAATTAGTATATAGACTACTGTACACAAGTATCTTTGCAATGCGGGACTCAACAGGCCTTTACCTATGTATGTATGTTTGTATGTATCAATGTACATATGTATAGATGTATGTAAATATGTACGCATGTACGTATACATATTTGTATGTACATTTCCAATTTCTATTTCAGTTACGGGTGAAAAAAACGCACGAGCATGAAGGAAAGTAAGGCACGTACATATGTATGTACATACATTTACCGGGTCCCTGGTAAGCACATACATACGTATGTGTATTGCATACATATATATGTACATATAAATTAACAGATAAATGTTCATTGCCCTAAGAGTATTATACAGCAGTTTTCACCTTCAAGCTACTTGATCAGCTTACCAAACAACAGGCACGTATTCACAGTAATAACCGAAACAAAACAGAATTCCACGAAAGTGTCATGTGGGGCGAGAGTAAAATACCCTTCAAATCGTTTCATTAACCATACCACTATTACATAGACAACAATATACAAAAGGATTAAATATTTTTTAGTTTTTATTTTAATAAATTTTTAATATAAAGTATATACATATGTATTTATGTATGTATGTACATAGTACATATGTCTGTATAAATAAATATTATTTAGGATTTAGAAAAAAGTGCTCGATGTCATATTCCTGATATGTCGAACATTTGTAAGTATTCAAAGTAAAAATAAAGTTACTTATGTGTGTTAAATTTGTTTGTTTCATAAATGTTAACATATAGCTCTAGCCGAGGCCTAAATTTGGTACAAGTTTTCGTTTTCAACATTTGCTCGAATTCAAGAAATAAAAAAAAA